TGGTTTTGACCTTTCATATGGCAAAAAATATTGTTAAATTCCCTCAAGGTGGTCATGGGCTAGGTCAGCTAATTAAATAATGGCATTTGATACACACTCCAATAAATTAACCTTACCTTAGTGTAAAGCACAAAAAACATATAAAAACAAAGAAATGTCAAATACCTGAAACACAAAATGGTCCAAATTCTGTTTAGTTCCTTTACATGGTGTAAGAACAGCTTATTTTTATGTACGTGTGGGGGGAAGGAGGGAAAGATTACTTAAATAATTATATTCAATATTTTAACAGAGTACAAAATAAGAGCATAAACTACATCAGACATTAAGAGAGGAAATTAGAGGATCCAAAATAGAGTCTAAAGAGCAACTTGCAAAAAGTATAAACTAGCAAACAAATAAACAAGATATTCTTTAAGCATATCAGAAGTAGGAAGTGTGTGAAATCATTCATGGGTTTGCTTAATTACCAGGCATTAAAAGGAATAGTTAAGGAAGACAAGGACATAGGTGAGACGCTGGGGCTGCGTCTAGACTGGCATGATTTTGCAAAAATACTTTAAATGCAAAAGCATCCGTGCCCAGTATAGAAGAGCTTTTGCGCAAGAAAGCTCCGATGGCCATTTTAGCCATCAGGCTTTCTTATGCAAAAAATTAAGGTGCCTGTCTACACTGGCCCTCTTGCGCAAATATTCTTGCACAAGAGGGCTTATCCCTGAGCGGGAGCGTGAAAGTATTTGTGCAAGCAGCACTGAATTCTTACATTGGAACATCAGTGCTCTTGCAAAATTCAAGCGGCCAGTGTAGACAGCTGGCAAGTTTTTGCGCAAAATCTTGCCAGTCTAGACGCACCCTAAGGGTATGTCTACAGAGTGGCACTATTATAGGATAATGTCTGTTATCCCAAAATAGCATTCTGCATTTCTTAACAGCACAACCATTATTTCAAAATACATTCAAAATAACAGGCTTCTTATTCCATCTTACTGTAAACCTCATAGCATGAGGATTAAGAAAGATGCTGGATTAGTGATTTATTTCAAAATTAGCTCTGGGTAGACAGTGCCAAATTTTGAAATAAGCTATTTCAGAATAAGTTACACAATTTCCATAGTTTAAATTGCGTAGCTTATTTCGAGGTACATGCTACTGTATAGACATACCCCAATGAAGGTATGTCTACACTACAAAGTTAATTCGAACTAACAGACGTTAGTTCAAATTAACTTTGATAGGCGCTACACTAGCGCTCTGCTACTTGGAACTTAATTCGAACTAGCGGAGCGCTTAGCTCAAACTAGGTAAACCTCATTGTACGAGGACTAAGCCTAGTTCAAACTTACTAGTTCGAATTAAGGTGTAGCCCCTTAATTTGAACTAGTGGGAGGCTAGCCCTCCCCAGCTTTCCCTGGTGGCCACTCTGGCCAACACCAGGGATACTCGTCTGTCCCCCTCCCGGCCCCGGACCTCTTAAAGGGACACGGGCTGGCTACGGTGCCCGTGCCAGGTGCAAGCCTGCCA